ACCAGGTTAGTTACTGATGTTCATAGTCTTCCTCCGTTAGATTTACGTGGTCACTAACCTGTGTTTCCTGTCTCCAGTTTCCTGCCTCAGACTTCCTAGCAACTGTTTCCACAGACCTGTTTTTTTTAAATAAATGTTTTTAGAGTAATCCCACTGTCTGTCTAGCCGGAATTCTGGGTTCTGGGTCATTACAGACAGAGTTGTGAGTTAAAGCCGTTATTTCTTCACATTCAATGGGACTATTAACATTCTGAACAAAGCCAATGATGTCCAAGATAGCATCAAAGGATGCCTTTAAGGTATCCCTTTTAATATCCGCATGGAGGAAGAAATCCCCCTCTATAATGACCCTGTCAGTATTTAACACTAAATCAGATAAGAACTCTGAAAACTCATCTAAAATTTCAGAGTAAGGACCTGGTGGATGATACAAAGTTACAGAACAAAGAGGTTTGGATGTTTTGAATCAGGGAACTGGGGGTTTGATAATCAAAAGAGTTGTAATTATTAACGAACTTTGGAATAATCAGTAAGTCAGACTGAACGATAGTTGCTACTCCTTCTCCTCGGCCAGAATTTCTGGGTATGTGAAAATGTAAATAATTAGAGGCAATTGCCTCATTTATGCTGAAATAATTCTTTTGCTGCAGCCAAGTTTCTGTCAGGCAACATAAATCAATGTGATTATCACAAATTAAGTCATTAACCATAATACCGTTTGAAGAAAGAGATCTTATGTTAAATAAACCACATTTAATAGTTTTACCTTTCCCCCGATTGGAGTTATTTTAACTTTAATTAGAGCATCAAGGTTTACTCCTTTATGATTTTCCCAATATATTTGATTTTGGTCATGGGCAAGACAGTGTCTGGATGGAGTAACGAGTGGGTAGTAGTGGAGAACCTGGAGAGTTGTGTGTTAAACTATGACAGTGCTTCCTGGTCAGCAACCCTGGGTTGTCAGGTTTTTAGAGGACTAATACATTTGGCCATATTCCTAGAAAGAGGAACTGTACAATTTTTTAACCCTAAAATATTCCTAAAATGGATAATAATAATTTTTTTAC